ATCGTGAAAAACAGTTTCTATTTTTTTTTTTTTTTTTTTTTTTGTTTTTTTTTTTTTGTTGAAGAATGTAGTCAGTGGATGTTATATTACGTCTGCTTCCAAAGAAAAAAATATACAATGTATTTTACTTTTAATTAAAGTGTATTTTATTCGTATGAATTTTATAAAGTAGATAAAAAAAAAGGTATTAGCTTGCGAGTTACAATACATAAAATTATATTACAATTGGGCAAGTCATAATGTAGTAACAAAAGTAATTCTACAACTACTGTGGTAACATTTCACGTCTAGAAATAACTTTTTTTACGCCAAATACTATAGCTGGAGATCAAAATAATATTAATTAACATCAAGTTGAATTTTAAAATTAAACGACTGCAAAATATATTACAATTACACAATAGATCGTCGTTATAACATCCAGCAACTAGACGATTAAGATTTTCTTGGCCATTATATTTATAGCGAGAACAATACCTTGATCTTCCCTCGAAAGAAACACCGGTAGTTTTTAAGGTTGTGCTGTAGCGACTTTGAAAAATATTTATCCACATTCCTATGGGGAGGTAGTTACCGAAGTTATAATTTCTTTTTATAGTAATAATAATAATACCATAATGTAAGTATGATGAAAGTAACGTTTTTGCTTCGACCGTTGCAGACGCGCCCATCGTTGTGCTGCGAGTGGGACTAACCTCGGATCCGAAGGACATCAAGGAAAACGACGATGTTTCCTTTGAGTGCAACGTGAGATCCAATCCCCGAAACTTCAAGCTAACATGGCATCACGGGGTAAATATGTATTAGCCAGTCTCCTCCTCCGCTCGTTACATAAACTGTTTACACGAACAACTTGATCCCTAAGACGACGAGAAACCGTTCAGACGAAGATAAACGAGAAGTTCCGAATTTGCATCTGGCAACCGCGCGGGGGAGGAGCGAGATGAACAAACAAAAACACACACGACAAACCGTGCTTTTGTACCCTTTGTACCGTTAATTTTTTTTTTTTTTGTTCTTTTTTTTTTTTTTAATGAAATTAAAAACATTTCGCTCGCAAGACAATGACAAATAAAAGATAAACGTGCTCGACTTCGCGATGATTATTTCGAGATTCAGCGGAATCATAAAGAACCTACACGACAAATGGGAGTCGAAGTATAGTCAAAGAGGGTCCCAATAAGTTCGGAGAAAGAGGGAGGGAGAGGGAAAATAAACACACAACGTCAAACATCACTGCAGAGTACACGGAAAACAGGGAAGGAGCCTACGGGTAATATTATCCCTCGGGGGATCAAACATCATCCCTCTCTTTCCTCGGCCTCCCCCCCCCCTATCTTCGAAAGCTCCGCGTACCAGCTCGAGAAAAGGAGGGAACTGCAGAGACGGGAAAAGCAGCGTTTTGCATGAGCTTTAGTTTTATTTCCTGCAATTTTTCAGTCCTAAACACGGCAGCAAGCGATGCCGGGCGCTCTAAAAGCTCCGGCGCAGCTTTTCCGCCTGCCGGCAAATGTACTACATCGAGAGTGAATAATTCTCGCACACGCAAAGATTCGTGAGAAAGGGGCCGGGGGGGGGGAAATAAAGGCCGATAGGAGGGGGGCGCCGATGCGAAAACACGGAGCGCAAAAAGCTTTTTAGCGCCAGAGTGTATGTAGGAGTGCCGGGGAGGGAGGGTAGTTAAGCCGCTCAAGGAGGATCACGCCTCCTGTTTATAGATCCCGGCCTCCCTTAGTTCTATTACGACTACACGAGCCATCACTGGAGTATATACCGTACACCGCCACACGGGGTCTCTCCCCACGCGCGTATACGAGCTCGGGTGGCTACAAATGGGGACACGAGCGGGAAAAGAGCCGATGCTTTGCCGAGCCAGAAGGACCGAGCTCCTCTTTTATTCCCTTTGTCGTAATCGCCGTACAAACATGAAGGAAGATTAATTTTTATAACCCTCGCGCCAGAGAGCCGCTCATCTACTTTTGCCAGGTATTATCTCCAACGCCCCTTGGAAAGCACGCGCGGACGCGAAGCTTGAAGCTTGACAATAATATGAGCTTTGAGAACGAATCGGTTTAACGTTTATTAGTTGATGCAACGAGCGTGAATTTGCCAATATATTAGCTTCTTCGCGAGTTTCGAATTAGTTTGGTCATTTGGTCAAACATTTAAATCTTTTACCTCAACGACAATTAACGAAAATTACAAAAAATAAATAAATAAAAAATGGTACGTACATCGAAATCCCCTCGTTGCGTTAAATGGGCCCCTCGCGTATAATTATTCCTCGCATCATTAAAAGCGCAAAACGAAACGAGGGGTGTTTCTGTAGGACGCGAAGGCTGAAACAATGGCGCAATGAATAATTAACGCATAAAACCAAAGTGCGCGGCCAAAGTTGCATTTTCAAAAAACACGCCCTCTCAAACGCAATTGAGCGAAATATATTGTTGGACGTGTATACGCTACTGCCGGCGATGCGTACAACCCTCCCGCCCCCACCCCCCTGAACCAGTCTTTTATATCTACCGCGCTAACGGCACTGCAGACGCGTTCTCGCGAAGTTATTGCAAATTTACGATCAGCCGGTTGTTACCCTGGCGTTTATTCAAAATGATTTCACCTCCGAAACGTATAAAGTGCGTTCGCTCGGCGCGAATCAGTCACTGCTCTCGTTCGTGAAAATCAGGCTGCCATAAAACGACTAGGGGGTACACTTCGAGAATCTAGTCGCCCTTAGGGTCGTAAAAAATTTCCCGTTAATCGCGTCCCGCGGACGTGTACACGTTTCAACGATGGGCAAACAACGCCCCGTATAACTACGACGAATCTCGTTAACCGCGACCTTAATGCTATGGCTCTGTTTTGCGAATCGGGAGACGTGCCATGTATATATAAGCGGAAACATAATTAGACTTACCAAGTTATGCAGTATACACGTGGTATGGCGTCACGATTTTCGAGCTGCGGCGCGTGTGCGTCAAAAATCTCTTGTTCCAGGACAAAGAGTTGCGGCACAACGGCAGCGCAGGTGTGGTACTGACGGATCAATCCCTCGTCCTCCAGAGGATAACCCGAGAAAGTTCTGGAAACTACAGCTGCTTGGCAACCAACTCCGCGGGCAGCAACAGATCCAACGTTGTTTACCTCCGTGTTATGTGTGAGTTGAGCCCTTGTACCGTTGTTGTATAATATTATCTCGATTTTACTCTTCCGGCAATCAACGACAAACTCAAACCAAGTCGCCAAGTTGATATTGGAAATCTCCACTTGATGGTGGGGACGGGGAGAAAAGCTTTTGCAGAACTTTTTTAACAACGGGGATGACGATTTTTTAAAAGAAATTATTACCGAGAGAGAAAAATATGCAACGCTAAGGTTGAAGTTTTAACGAAATACTGGTAAATGTAGGCACAATGCGAGGGCACTGGGGTTAAACCCTCCCGTAGCCACTCGATCATTAATACCAGGAGGACAATAAACGTTGTGGTGTTTACGATAGAGAGCAAACAATAATTCAGGGTGTAAATTATTCGAGTGCACGGGCATTATCATCCTCTTCGGGGTACTTGCAAAACATGAGCTCGCTTCTAAACCCACAGACGCTCCGATCTGCAAGCACCTTGGGCCAATAAATCCCGAGGATCGGGTGCACCAACCGCCTTCGGAGGAGGGAGGCGAGAACAACGAGGCGCTGGTGAGCGAAAACGAGGACGAGGAAGAAAACGACGACGGCACCTTTGGGAGACCCACGACGGCAACGGGGCATCCTGGCGGAGACGGCAACAGTAGCCTCGCGAGGCACAGGAGCGTCAGTCTCGTGTGCGAAGTCGAGGCCCACCCGAGCAACGTCACGTTCCACTGGACCTTCAATGGCACGGGCAGCAACGCCCTTCTGGACCTGCCCGAGTCACGGTACACGAACGAGGAGACCCACAGCCGGCTCAGGCACTCGTTGCACACGGACGGGGACTACGGGACCTTTGGCTGCTGGGCGAGCAACGTCGTCGGACACTCCAAGCAGCCTTGTTTTTTTCGGCTACCTCCCCCGGGTGAGTGCCCATTGACTGCTTTTTTTACTGATGGAGATGCACATTTTTTTCTTTTTTATTTTTTTATTTAATTTAATTTAGGTAGGGGAAAAACTCGAAAATTTATAATTTTCGTATAAATATTTGCCCCATGGTATTACCGGTTTAAAAATTCACACGTGATGGCCATTATTTTACGAAAAAAAAAAAAAAAAAAAAAAAAAAAAAGAAAAAAGTGTGCCGCTGCGACTCTGATCGATCCGTTTTCATTAGCGATACGCCACAATTCTCCGATACGCGCTCATCGATCGCTCGTAACTTTTTGGACAATCAAAGGACATGCCATAATCCCAAATTAATCCCTCCATCGTCGAAAATATATACGTATATACGATTCGTTCATTTGTACACGAGCGCGACGCTTCGCGTTATTCATATAATTAAACTCCACGCGGGCGACCCCCCTCTCGATGCATCGCTCTCTAATGCCATTCCGTCGATTTGGTATAGCTTGTCGTTATTATTCCCCGCCCCCCCTCGTCCCTGCCTAATACCAATAAAGGCCCGACTATCTCTATGAAACAATTATGGCGCTTTTAGCGTGTACATCCGCGCGTCGCCTATAATATTAATTAGTCCACCCCGACACGTTGTGCTGTACACGCTCTGCAGCCACTCTATGCACCTTGGCCCGGGCTCATAATTGAAATTTCCCCCAAAACGTATCCACATCCGCGTGGCCCACCTCGTATTGTGCGCTCTCCCTTCCGGAGTCTGTATATTTCTCCGGAGGACAAGGGTAGCTTGTGTATAGCACGTATTGTACAAACTGGCCATGGTATAGCCATGTGCAATGTGGAGCTCAAACGCAAATATACCGTTAATTGTTGATACTTGAAACATCCGCGTCGCGAAAATGAAGAGTCGATTCACGATGGGACCATTTTACCATCGCAGCGATCTCTTCCGAGATGTGTAGCGGTACTTGTGTGAAAATGAACTCCCTCGCGAGTAACAACTCCTGCGCAGAGGCGTGAAAGACGCAAGTCTTTTCGTTAGTACAGGTGGGCGCATTCCGAGTCAAAGTTACTATATATATTACATGTGTATATACGTGTAGGGGGAGCTTATTCGCAGTTCTTCGTTTATTGGCTATTGCGAGCGAAATGAAATATTTGCGGCTTCCGTGGATGTTCCCCAACGCTGTTTCCTCGCCCTCCACAGCGAGGGCCCTTTGTTGCGCGGTGCAGGACACTCTCCACATCCAATTCCCCTTTGTGAATGGCCAGCCACCGCGAGAAACATATTATGCGCCCGTGGAATAAATTAATTTTCATTCGCGTGATTAAAAGTACGACTAGCGGGGGGAAAGATGATGCGTGAAAATTTAGAGCTTTCGATGATCATTCGATACGAATTCGTCCGCAGAGCTAATTTTCCAAGTTTTCATTCGGAAAAGTAGCGCCCGATAACAGAACGGAGGAGTAGAAGGAAAAAAAAGAACCAACACCCGCTTCGATGGTTGTTTAACGCGATAAAAGTGGCCCCGGCAGCGCGCACGACGCCGTCGAATTTAATTAAACTCATAATTAAACATGTGCGCGCGTAACAGCGGCCCCGACTTTTCCGAGCAGCAGTCGCCGGCAAGGAGTAGTAGGAGGGACAAGTTGTGATATTTCGTCGGGTCTGCTCGAAAATTTTTCCGCGCACGTGCCGCCCTCGCTCTAATTGGACGCGTAACTCATTTCGCGAAAAACGCGAATGGGCCCTTTATACATAAACGTGAGTGCGTTTCTTGTGTAATAATTAATGCCACGCGTGCAGGTACTGCCTCTCCAATTACTTTCCGAAGCTCGGGATGGTGCTTCACTGGGAGAAACTTTTTTAGAATTAAAAAAAAAAAAAAAAAAAAAAATACACACTACAACAGTACGTTTGAGATGAAGCTAGGTTTTCTTACTTTGAAAAAAATGTTTGTTTCCGACGTAATAAAACTTCACCTTCATTCAAGAGAGAATTCTTCTTCGGTACTATTTTAGCAAACATTTCCGTTATTCTTATAAAATTGTTTCTCACGTAAATTTCTCTTTGCGAAACAAAGGAAACCATGTAGTGGTTACGGATTCATGGACCGGATAAATGAAATGGGTGGTATTTCTGCAACATTGCACTACGCGCTGTAGATAACATTATATATCATTTAGAACGTAAAATAAAAAATGTATATATGATTGTTTGGCAATATGAAAAAAAAAAAAAAAAAAAAAAACCCAGTGAGTCCCCGGCCACTGCAAAACTGCACGACCCAGAACCAGAGCTCCAGTTGGATCCGCATATCCTGCCAGGAGGGCTTCGACGGCGGTTTGCCGCAAAAATTCGTCGCCGTGGTGGGTGACAGGCGCTGGGAGTCACCCACCCCGAGCTGGGACGTCGAGATCCTCAAGCCGAGCAGCGTCGTTTACCTCTACGCCGTAAACGCCAAGGGCTCGAGCGCGCCCGTCGTCATGGATAACATTGCCTTGTTCAAGGACGTGGCCAAGTTCACGGGCGAGTCGACCGGTGAGTTTCGACGCCCATCCTTACACGTGTGTGTGTGCCGTACAATTATGTGGAAGAAAAGTCATACATACGCATACACGCGTCGCTTTTTTTTTTTATATGCACCATCGTTGCCCTCGATTTATGGCTTTGACGCGCAAGCTCGATTATTCAACCCGCTCCGTGTACGGTGGTTGGTAAAATCGCGACGGGTATATATTCAGTGTGTGTATGATATTTCTCTCTCGGTCGAGTAACCGAAAAATTAACTTGGATAATCAAAAGTCATGTCATTTCATATGACCTTTCGAGCAGCGCCAACAATGGACCAACCTTAGAAAATCCCACGGCGCGCGTCGATATTTGTTTTATCAAGTTTTGTAACAACGAGTTGGCACCATCGCGCATAATCGAGTTAGTTTTCTGGTAGTATGCACAATTATACACGCGAATTGTTTAATTTATGCAATCAATAATCTCAACACCCCCTGACCCGCGTTGCGCCGCGAAAATTCCTCGTTTAAAATGTAAATGCGGTTATTTTCATTACATCCGATTGGAGGGTACGGATATCGAGCCGCGACACGTACACGTGTATCTGTATTTGGGAAGCAAAGAAAAACACCGAAGCCGGAAATGCCTGAGTACGATTATTCGGAAAGAATAAATGATATAATATCCCATGTATGAGTTGGACGTTCGATTGTGCGCAGGAGAGACGGGCATCTCGATCGACATATCGCCGATTCTGATAGGACTGGGTGGTACGGCGACCGGGTTGGGGCTCATCGTGACCGGGGTACTGATGGCCCTGTGGCGCAAGGACGCGGCATCGGCGACGCCATCCAAGCCGAAGCCGCTCCACCAGCCGCCGAGCATCGCCACCACCTTCGCGGTCAAGGCCGACGAGGAGGACGGCAATCCCGACCTCATACCCACGACGGCACTCACCAACAGCTACACAGGTATATAATGTACTTATGATTTCGCCCTCTTTTTTCTTCTTTTTTCTATGCGTCTCTTTTTTCTTTTTTTTTTTTTTTTTTTTTTTTTTGCGTAAAAATATAGCCCGATCGGGGAAATGGAATTAATGCGAGTTTTATACGTTTGCCTTGCGGAGATGAGTCAATTGAGTGAGCTATAAGCTGAAAGAAAGAAAGAGTCGAACGAGGGCTGTTATATTATCATACAACATTACAGTTTATTAAAAGTTTACATCTATAGGTACATAATATATCGTAATATGTAATTTTAAGACTTAATATTTATATATACATATCCCCTTTGATATATTTTATATTTACGAAGTGATGGGAATTTTTCGAAAGTAATCTGTTTCATTTGTTATTTGTTGAAAGCTCACTTTTTTTCTGCAAAAATCCACGCATGTTGTACTCACCGGATTACGGCGAATACGTAATCAACTTTGGAACGAAAATTGATAAAACACTACGCGCGGTTCGTAATCCGTGCACGCCATTATTCGAAATATACATTTTGATTAAAAGCTCGTTGGGATGGAGCTGAACGTGCATATTTTATTTGTGGGTAGCCCGAAAGGGTTGAGGTATAATATTTGCGTTTACTGATTACAATTAACGTGTAATTACAGACAGAAAACTTTCTGTTTATGGATCACTGCCAAGAAGATCGAACTACGCGGAGGAGCTGCCCCAAAGTATTATGCAAGACATGGATTACCCACGAGCTGCGCCAAATGTACGTATATTGTTGTGTGAAATGTAATTACTTAACGGAGCAGTGTTTTCTCGCGCAACAAAACTTTCGGGAGTAAAAAAAGAAACACCCTCGAGTGGTTGATAGAAAAAGCGAACCGTTGCTTTCTTTTTTGTTGTTTCAGACGTATTACAGCTTGCAGAGACCAAGTCGTTATCCGGAAACAATAGTCAGACACACAACCGTCCAGGAAAGCTGTATTTGAATGCGTTTGCAAAAAAAAAAAAAAAAAAAAAAATACGAGGACTTTTGTGGATTTTCACGTGAGTGAACACCGAGTTGGGGAAATTCGAATTTACAACCGAAAAAAAAATTTTAAAAAAACTATTTATAGCTACTCGACTGATCATGTGTTTGTAAATACTGTACATAAATAATTTATACAAAAAAAAACATATATTCTGTTTCACGTTTATTGCTGTACCTCATCACCCAAGTTTAATCACAGGTACTAAACTTTTTTCAGTTTTCATTTATTTTTTCATACTTACGCTTATACTTGGCGTTTTTCAAAAGAGATCCCGGATTATAGCAAAATACAGTTTTGAAAATACCTACAAAAGAATATTTTCTAGGGTTTCTCTTAAAATACGTATGGAACAAAATATAACTATAAATTATAAAAAAAACACTCCTGCAGACAGTTATGGAAGACTTTGAATGCAGCGCGGTAGCTTGCAAGTTGTAGAAGCTCACGAGTGATTGGTGGAGTTGAGCGGGGCGGTAAGTAGTCGTTGATATGAAAATATGAGCTTTCGCCAAAACTATAAACAAGCGTTTGTCTGGCAAATATGTTAAGTATAGTTTGCGTTCAAACAATCGACAACATTTACATGTTTTTTCTACATCATCTTGCAATAAAATCGGTTATTAAAAAAGAAAATACCTTATTTTCATTCATGTGATTCGGGGGGGGGGGGATGAGGTGGGTGGTAATGTATCGTAACCTCAAATTTTCATTTGACAACAATCAGTAAGTACAACCACTGTTGTGCATACATTACCTACTTTATTATAGTTTTATCGTATATTTCATACATTTATATAAAGATGACTTCAACGTAATCAAGACTTGTTTATTTTTCTGATTGTGCAATTGATGAGCCATTTTTTACGTTATTAACGTTTAGAACATATAAATATCATCTCTAAAATGTCGCAAGGCAGAGGTACAACTAGTAGCTTTTATTTTCAAGCGCTTTCCTTCGTTCTGTATGTTTTTAAAATATTAATTTACTTTAGGACACTACAGGGGGAAAAGGAACAATAGCGGTTCTTACCAAAGAAACAAGAAAATCAATGTGGGTGACAAAGGTAGAGAAGTGCTTGAAAATTTGGATGAAAACAACCCAGTGATAAAGCAATTTCAAGCATATGCCGTCGAGTTAGACACTAAGCACGATCGTTTTGAAAGAATCATTAAGATAAGCCGAGATATTACTATTGAAAGCAAGAGAATTATTTTTTTGCTCCACACCCTTGACAAGGAAAGCAAAAGGACCGCTGTACTGGGAGAAGCGGAGACAAGGTTGAATAATCTTGTAAAAGGTTTGTTCAAAAAAGTTGCTCAAGAATTAGAAGACCAAGATCCTTATCTTTACTTGAGAGCATTCAGAGCTGGATTCCAAGAATTTGTTGAAGCTATGACGTTCTACTGGTTTTTGCAAAACAAAACCTTGTACCACTGGACCAATCTAGAAAAATCAATGATTTACACATTAGAGGATCCAGATAAAATGGAGACAGATGAAAGTAACGATAATCCAAAAATGGTACAGACTCTGGTTGCACCTGTAGAGTATGTATTGGGAATAGCTGATCTTACTGGAGAGTTAATGAGAAAGTGTATTAGTAACTTGGCCATTGGTGATATCTCAAGCTGTTACCAAACATGTAATTTTGTCAGAAGTATATACAAAGGCTTCTTGGGTAGTGCTGGTATGTCTGGAAGGGAAGTAGGTAGGAAACTTTATACTCTAAAGCAAAGCTTGATGAAGATGGAAAACGTGTGCTACATGATCCAAGTTAGAGGCTCTGAAATTCCAAAGCACATGCTAGCTGATGTGGCTTTTGCCACCTCAGATGGTATGAATGTAGAAGAAGATGAAGGATACCAGATGTATTAAGAACAAAACTTTAATTTTTTTTTATATTTATATTGCTTAGAAAAATAAATACACTCAGAGAATTTTTGTAATCAATCACTCGTTTTTACTTTTATGACATTTTGCATTTTCTCATATAATTAATCTTCGTAATCGCTTTCCCATTCTTCCATATCACTATCATCATCTATGAATGACGCTTCATATTCCGATTCATCCACCGACTCATCCATGTACTCATCATCTAAATCTGACATATCTATGGGAGATCCTGATCTTGCACGAGCTGGTCTTTGCCTAGGTTCAGGATGTTTATAATCTAATTTGTGCTGTGGATTTTTGCGGTAACATCTGCGACCATATGGGCATTCCGGTCTAGTATCAGGCTGGTCATAATCAGCATCTCCAGGATGACTAAACTTTTGCTTGTGTTCTTGATTCCGCCTGTAATAAATGAAAAAGAAACAAGTGAATATTTTAGCATAAAAATTATTTTAAAATTGTAATTAAAAATACACTTACCTGTAACATTTATCTCTGTATTTGCATTTTTCTCGTCGCGTGTTTTGAGTATCGCTGGTAGATGCCTGATTGTTAGTATTCGCAGTACCATCATCATTTGTTGATTCTTCGGTATTTTCATTTTGTTGCGCTGGTTCAGAGTCAGAGTTCCGATTATTGGAATGTTGTGTGTCATTTTCATTATCTCCATTCTGATTAGCATCATTTCGACTAGCAGAACACAACAAAACGCTAGCATCTGTTTCAGAGGCATTTTCATCATCTACTGCCAAATTCTGATTTTCTTCATTTTGGTTTTTAGAGGGCAAGGAGTCTGCTTGTACTTCAGAATCATTTTCAGCAATACTAAAATTAGAAGACTGTACGGAACTGTAAAGAAATAGTTTATGTTTTAAAGGGAACAAAACATTCCAACATTAAAGAAAAAATAAGACCAAACCATACATATTATCAATGTTATCTGGATTCGTCAGAGTATCGACTTCCTCATTATCTTCTATACAATTTGAACCTTCCAAAAAATTTTCCTCATCCAAAGGTTCGTGATTGTTGTTGTACGAAATTGGTTTCACAGACTCAATTTCCAAACCAACTTCTGAACGGCACCTTTTATCGATTGGCTCATCTTCGATTATTTCTTCCATCTGAAAAGTTATTTTGATAATAACCATAAACCAATTAACCATCTTTTCCTATACTCAAGTACACAAACCTTTCTCTTAGAATTTCTAATTTCACTGTCATCATCCATTGTAGATATTACTCTGAGCCAAATTTTAACTGGAAACAACAAGCAGGTATCCCTGATGTTAAGAGGTGTTACGCAATTTTGGCCTATGGATTTCCACCGTAGAGCTCCAAAATTTTTCACAAAACAGGATATTCCTTGACACTACAAGTTGTATTTACTTGATGAATATGGGACTCACGTCAAGATTATTGTCAGCTAAACTTACTGGTGAAATGGTGATTTCATCATCAGGAGACAGGTTTATGACAGCAGCCTCTTCAATAAAGCGTTGACCATCATCCTGGAAATAAATAAAATACAGTCAACAACTGCCATAGGTAACACCATTTAAAAAATTGTTGCCCAACAATGAGCAATAGGTATATCTTACGTTTTAAATTACACACCATCACATACTGGAATGGAATGACATTAAATAATTAATAGCAAGGTAAATAAACAAGCTCAAGTAGTTAAAATCAAACCGATTCAGTTAAAAATAAACGATAAACTGTAAAACGCAATGTTTGCCAGAAGCACAACTATAAACACTAATGTGACGATTGATTTGAATGTAAACGAGCAGACAAGCCGGGCCCGTAAAATGAGGTTATGGAGCCAAAATTTAAAATGCTCAATTTATTCCCACTCACAAAATGCATCTTGTGACATGAGAGAGATGATACTATCGGAGTACCGATATAAATATTGTTCTGAAATATAACTGCAAAACGAGGTTTTTTCCATGACTTACGTCCGAATTAATGATATTCCCAATAACATTTTCGCCTAGTTGCAAAACTGTTCTTCTCACGGTTGAATCGTCGATCCATATGATTTCGAATTTATTGTTTTCATCAGCCATTATTCGTAGGAATAAAAAATAATGCAAATATTGCAGTAAAAACTTCTTTTTTTAAAAAATAATAAACATGACTTTAACAATTTATTTGGGTTGCAAACTAGACAATTGAACAACGGAAATGTGACGTTTTACTTTTGATTTGTCATTTACGCATATGAACTAACTAGTATACACAGGTAAGTACTTTATTATTAACATTACCATAATTTCCTAATAAATTTACAATTACAATGTAAAGTGGTTGAGATTTCACGTTATTGTTATATCACATTTTACCTTAGTAGCACCAAACGTTCAAAAAACGTCTTTTTATCATTCTTAAAGCTCTGTAAACATGTTATACCAATGGGATAAGTAATCAATAACGCACAAATATTCATAAAAATAAAAGCTCTTAGTTTTTTATGCGCATTGGAAAAGTCTTGCCTTAATTTTAACGAAAGTTATAAGTATGCAATTTCCTCATCATTGTAAAAAATAGTAGATATTTAAGGATCATTTTACGAAAATTTCATTACTCGTGTCTTAAATTTTTTTTAAATATCGTTGATTGTTATTTTAACGAACGTTTTAAAAACCAAAAATATGAAACGTTGGCATGAAATGAAAAAAATAAATAAATAAATAAAATCCAAAATGTCATACCTGTTTACCTGAAAAATTTTAAAATTAGTTCACGACGTTTCAACCGTGACCATAAACTTTATCAATCTTAAATAAATTAAACATTATTTTACAAGGTCACAAGCTCAACTTTTGGACAGCCCGATAGGATTTAATTTAATTTATTTAAATAAAGGAATACAATTTAAAAAGGAAAAAAAATGCATGACCAATTCTAATGCTGGATGCGAATCAAAGCAGCTACATCTTTTCGTGTGAACAACCATTAGTCGGCTAGATCGTAGTAAGCTTTGGAACACGACTCCCCCAGAGCTTGCAAGCTCGAATAACACCTTTGATCATTAAAACGTGTAGTGCAGTCCGATTCATCAAGAACAAATTAAATTACACGTATGTATATACACGCACTGCAGAGGAGCACACGGCACGTTTCGAATTTCGTAAAAGCACAAAAATATATCCGTTATTTCACCGCCGCCGGCCATATCGTTGCCATCGGGCGCTCGTGCTTTCGTGTATAATGTAGGCGCGCGCGCGTGATTCAAAGCGAATCCGTTACATTAGCAGGGGGGTTAATGCTTTCTGAAGCTGCAATGTCACGTTTTGCAAGCGCTCTCGACCCTGGTGTTTGTCCAATGATTGTTGAATATTATGAAAATCGTTGGACGGCTGCCCGGGAATTTAGCCGCTTTGCTATACGTTACGTATACACACATTACGCCTATAGACTCCATTAATGCGTACCGTTATTAATAGTTACATAGAGCAAAGTTTGTTGGTTTGTTTGTTCGTTTGTTCCGCTCGAAAGCATCTGTGCCAGTGCAGATTTATCTTTTTTTTTTTCTTTTTTTTTTTAGTTTCAGAGTGCCATTTGTACTTCATTTTATTTACACACGCGCGAACATCGACCAATGGCACGGAAAATGTTTGTCAAACCGCTGTGCAGTCATTGGTGTTTCAGTGCTTGGGAAAAATCGTTTCTTCGGTTGCGGAATACTCATTACGAAATTCTGATTGAAACATTTTTCACCCATACCTCGATCGAAAGTAGATTTCTATTTCCGGTCAAGTTGGCCGAAAGAACTCGGCTCGAATAAGAGTTATCGCTTGGCCATTAATTTCGTCAAAGCCACGGGGAGAAACAAATGTTTTTTCACCTCACGTCCGAGATGGAGGAAACGCTGTACGTGTTTGATCTCGTTTGTTTGCATTTTCAAGTTCCCTATTATTATACGATACGCAAAAATAGCTCGGTTTCCTTGTTTTACCAAATAGTCGAGGGCCGAGAAGAGTTTTGTCAGATGCGTGTATTTTTGAAGAATGGCACTTCCGAGGCTGTGTACCACTACACGCCCCAGTTGGTCTTTCTTTATTTCTAAGTCATTTTCGCGCTGTTTATACTGTAAAAACAAAAAAGAAAACCTGTATCATACGTACGAATATCCCAAAAAATCATACATCTGTTTGCACAGATGGAGAAAAGATGAAACGATACAATGGCCCCAACGCACGTACCCATAAAACTACGATTAACGCAAACGCACGTTTATACAGTAATCATTCAAACACCCATACTTTTGGAAAGGTTTACAAAAAAAAAAAAAAAAAAACCACTAGCTGGTCAGGATGTATAAATATGGACATGCATGCAGTGTGTTTACGAATGACGCGATCGGATGGCCCTAAATAAAACGTTAATCATCCTTCCGCTCGTTATGACCGAACGCCACGTCCGTCTAAAAATACGTCCGAGAAAGTTTAGCCTCGACGAAAAAAGTTTACGTACGTATGTATTTTTTTTCCGACCCTCGCTCTCTCGTCTTGGACATCAACAAACTAATGAACAAAATTATTTTTTTCTTTATTTTTACTATACTGATTACAACTAATTTAACATAGGCTTGCATCCGTGGTTGCATGGATGGTACAAATACTTGAATCGATGGATCGAAATCGCCGAGTATGGGCTACAGGGTGCTTTGACGAGCAGGTAAGTGGGGATGGTTACAATTATAGAAATACTCGTTCACGTTATTTGCAACGGCACGATTTTACTGGAGCAAAAAATAAAGTCGCTGTTTGCTCGAGACATGGAGCCATCCATTGCGAAACCATCTCACGTATAGCCCCCCCCTCCCCTTCCATCTCTCAATGTTGACCACCTCCGCTCTTTCTCTCTCGATTTATAAAATTTCGGAGCACCTTGGCCCGTTTGGAGAGGTTTTATTCGTGTGTATACGTATACTAACGGGGGAGCGGGAGGAGAGGCGCGTGGCCGCGACCGAGCTTTGCAAGCTCTTTTATTTCTCGCAGCCGAGGACTGACTGCACAGTGGCGTCCTTGATTCAGCACCACGGCTGTGAGGCCTTCCACGGTTATTACTCATCCATCGGTCGAGCGAACGCGCACTTACACCACCGGCTCTTTTTTTTTTCTTTTCTTTCCCTACTACCCTCCTCCTTCTCTCTCTCTCACTCTCTCTCTCTGTCTCGATGAGCGGGAAGTTATAATAATAACGATCCTCGATAATTTTAGCGGGTGACAGGTCTCGCTGCTTCCCTCCCGCTTTTTTAACTCCCATCGATGCGATTTTTGTATTTTTAAACTCCTTCTCTCTCGGTCGGTCTCGAATTATTCGCAAAATCCTTCGCCACGGAATGTGCTTGTCATATTAATCTTTCGATCCACTTCTAACATTGAACTCGATGGCTGGTAAGTGCTTGAGATTTACCCTGGAAGCAAAAAATATACCGATCAAACAGGGCTCGTTATATTGTACAGCAACAAGTTGTCACACGACTCAAAACCATGTAAAGGTAAAACAAAAATAACTACCACAGATTTTCATTGCCATCGGTTGTTCTATTCGTATGGCCGATCTCGCTAACGATCAAACCGAGCGTAAAGGAATATCGTTCCGTATAATATTATATTGATATTACAAATATTCACCCCCTCGCGCGATAACTTGTTGCGCTTAAGTGTACTTTTGTGTTACCACAACCACCTCGACTCGATGGTCCACGCATGCAGCTGCATGTATAACCTTAGCACGGATTCGACCTCCCTCTTCTTCACGATGATGCATCGCGTATACGTTATACCTTACGACGAGAGAGAAATCAAATCGAGACGGGAGGTGGAGGAAGGAGGAGGAGGAGGAGCTTGCAAGTAGATATGCGTGCGCGTGAAACAGATGGAGTAGGAGAGAGAGAGAGAGAGAAAAGAAGAATGAGAGGGCGTCTAAAAATGACGCAATGCCCGTCGTCCATCGTCGTCTTTTTCGTTGTCGTGATCGTCGACCAAACGAAGCGAGCGAGATGTACGAGCAAAGGGAGAGAAGGAGAGACATGAATAAGATCTGAAATCGCTACGACGAAGACGACCAAGTTTCGCCGACTTCCCGGGCAGCGAGCCTCTCGGCTTGCAGAACCGTACGAACTTTTACCGCGGTCGCATCTCTCGAGCGGCGTCGCCCAGCGTTTTTACATTTTTGTTTTACCTTTTTTTTGTTTTTTTTTTTTTTTTTTTTTTTTTTTTTTTTTTCCTTCGTTTGTTTCAATTTCACTCACGCGCGTTGTTTGTACCTATTATCTCTCTCTCTCTCTCTCTCTCTCTTTGTTTTGCGTCGCTGTATATACACATACGATACGCCTGTTGCGCACTCAACCGAGCAAGCAAGTACGTCATACATATATACATATATACCACTACCCCATGTCGCTAACTCGCGTACAAGAGCGCGCGTTTGGCAGTATACGTATAAATAAGTGCTTTGAGAAATAGAAAAGAAAGAAAGAACAAAACCAATGATTTTGCATTTTCTTTTGCCAATACCAGCACTAGTTGGCCCAAGCACCAGGAGAGAGACGCACACGATCGACCGAGTCCGTGAGTTAAGCTTCGACCAACAACAAGATGGTTTACGAGAGCGATTTCTACACAACCCGACGACCCTACTCGTCGTCGTCCCGGCCCTACGTGTCGTCGTACTCAGTTACGGTTCGTACATTACAATCACAACAATACGCCCCAATTATGCACAACGTCATTATGATAATTATATATATATATATATGTATTACAAAGTGTGTGTGCTATTGCGTCCGAAGACAATGATATACCGATCGGACGCTGTTTGTTTCATACCCGCCCACCCCCTCCGCTCGATCACACCCTGTGTGTGTGTGTATACGCAACCTCGATCGTAACGACTTTTCTTCTACTTCTTTTCCTTCTTGTACTGCTACTATACAACCACCACTTTGATGACAATACTATGCAAAAATATATTTATTTACGATCGCTATCTCTCAATTATCATTCGTGGCTCTAGCTCTTTCGAGGTCCCCCCGGCAAAGTCACGCCAATGTCGTTTCGGGCTTTCTATTTCGATGACGCCCCTCGAGCTCGTCACTTTTTTACTACCGTACACTCGCGTTGTTGACATTTTTTTTCCCTCCCTCTCTGAGTCTCACTCCATACGGTGTACCTATGTGGGTTGAAACTGGAGAATCGGTTTCTAGGCGCCACGAAAATCGGCAAGAAATCGGATAGCATGATTTTCCTCTCTCCACCTGCAAAGTGAAAATCGATTGTTTCACAATCGGTACGTAATACGTGTACGCGAAGGCAGAGTGTTTGTACATGCATATTTCGCGTTCTCCCTCTCTATATATAAGCGTAGCGTGTCGTGCGCGGTGGACCTCGAAGGAATTCAGATAACGCTAGGTACTGTGCGCTGACAGTTTCTTGAGTCAAACAGCTGATTTTTTTTTTTCCTTTTTTTTTTGCATAGTAACTCAATGCGTCCGAAAATTTTTATTTTTTTGAATGCCAATGATAGATTGGATGCTTTTTTTAAAAATCAAATTTTTTCTCACGGTATAATATTGTAGCTAAACGTACAAATGCCGAAAAACTTTTTTGGGTTTATTTGTGATTTTGAAATGTTTTTTTTTTTTTTTTTTACCTACACGATTGTGATGGAACTCACGACGCCCGACAATCCTTGCAAAGAGTAACTGACAGTAACAGAGCCTACACGTTATTTGACTCTCGCGATTCTCGAATCGGCTCGTCGATTGACACGGAAACTCTTTCCGACGCCTTCAATATTTTACCACGTGCTCTGTCAAATGCCTTCGAATAAACATAATAAAATATTTACCATTGCATTCACCGTCGTGGAGGCCTGTGTCAATCGACAGCCGATTTTGCGAATACTACTCTACTGATGTGTACCACCACTGTACTTTTCTATTTTTCTGTCCATACTTACCTACTTTTTTTGCCATCTCTATCGTAAGCATCATCACCCCATCTATACATGTGTCATCTGTAATATTGTGCTCTATATAAAAAAAAAAAAAAAAAAAAAAAAAAAAAATGAAAAAGTAATTGAAAGTCAGAAAAAATTACAATATAAACAAGCGTACACTCGGTGTCTCGTTCTCAACATGCATGTAACATAAGTGTACCATTTCGTAATTGTATGCACGTCATCCCTTGAATTTTTTTTTTATCCTGCGAGAAGGTGCGTTTTGACAACGAAGACGACATCAACGCTTACAAATAAGACGCGAGTCATTTTTTTTAAATACTCACACTTACACACACACACACACACACACACACACACACACACTTACACCTATACATTATATGTACACATGCTCCAATCATCATCATTTCAGAGAGAAGTGTCTAAATTTACACCCAACAGGCGGCGATTTTTCGAGAGAGAGAGACACACACACTTGCGTCGCGTTGTAAATGTCCGTCCGCGTGTGTCACTTTTCCCATCTTAGACGACGAGCTGCTGCTGCTATTGTCGAGTCGTACAGCCCAGAGATAGAGATAGAGCCCAGCTAAACAGAGGTGTATATAGCCACCCGAGCTGTACCGACACGGTAAAAACAGATCGGCCACTTAATAATAAATACGCGCCCGCTATAACGCGCATTACATAAACCACGCGGGTATTTCGCCTGGAATCGCCTGCACCGTATAGCCCCCACCCCCCCCCCTTCGTGCGCGTATAATTCACCGTTGAATAAACACCCGTCCACCGCCTAGCCGCGTTATGTATGCGTTACCCTCTTTCTCCTCTCCCTCTCTCTTACTATCTACCCCCGTGCCACAGTAAGCGCGTCCAACCCATCACTCACCCTCATTCTCGGCCTACGCTCTTACCCATGTATACAGGTACCAACCATGCCTCTTTACTTATACTCTTCTTTCGCTGATTTATGCAATGTTTCGTCATCGCGTTTACAATTTTACATACGCCTCTATACACCTGCATCCGAGGCATCAACGTCACATTAGAAGCGACCTACACCTATTGCACACACGCGTATACCGTGGGATGTGCAATTTTTTTTTTTTTTTTTTTTTTTTTTTTATGATTGTACGGTGCAGGACCTGCGTACACCACTACACATCAGCCTCTTATGGACGAGCTTGACTTTTGGTATTTGCTTGCTGTTGTGTCTATACCCCCTCTTGTCTTGATTCCACACATCCAAGTTTTTTTTTATTTTTATACGTTTTCTGGTTTTCCCCGATTGCCTGCACATTTTTACTCTTTTACATATATTTTGTGATTTTGACCGTTTGATTGCGCTGAGTTGGGCGTATCCTCGACTTATCTGCAGTGTACAACAGTCGAGATTCAGCAAAATAGCGAAATCTCAAAGGGGGAAAAAAAAGGATAAAAATCCCAGTGCCAGAATCACAAATTTAAAAATAGCAGTCCATCGTCAGTGGACTGATTAAACCCTGATTCTTTCCGTGCAAAGGGTAAAAAAAATCATTGTACCACTTGACAATAAAAATTATTGTTCACCGCGGTGAAAATTTACGAGTTTACAGTGCACTGCGGCGGTAATTTTTACGTGTTATTTTCCTGAGCGCCTGCAACAAAAGGAACTCGCACGCGCGCATTAGCGCTTGCCCCGAAAAACACCCACCGCTGAGAGATCCGCAAAAGCTCGGCCGCGACGAGAGAAGAGAAAAAAGGACGGGCGCGCTCGGCCGTAAAGCCAAGAACTTTATCGCAGAGAAGCGTCACGATAAGCTGGAAAATTACATCGCCACCCAGGCGTTTACCCCAATGTACATGAGCACGAAAATTCCGGGCTGTAGAGCGACGATATGTATACGACGCCAAGTTGGGAAAGGAAAAACATTCCAAATACCACGGGGAGGTGCAATTACGCGAACGTCTTGGATAATGGAAGGTGGACTAAAGAAAAAGGGCCGATGGGTCGCATTAGCTCCCCGAAAAATTCGGTAGCTCCGTAAGTAGGTATATTAATAGGACCTATACGTGAGATCGAATAGCCGAGCTATTCCTAGCCACCACAGCGCGATACTCATGTAAGTGCACGTATGGGTGCACCTGTACGCGCGCGCATCGGACCTCCCATAGCCACGTATTCTCGGGCTCTCTTTGCTCCAAGCCAAAGCACACGTGTGTGTATATTACCTACTTTTGGGATGTACTGTCGAGCTTGAATGAAACGAGCACCGGTTCATTCTCACTCGTTAAAGTACGGCAGTCATCGATGCGAATGAGTTTCAAAGCCAGAGTCAAAGGCCTACTGGCAACTTCTTCGATCCACTTTGAGTCCCTTATTGCCTCGGATACATTTCCCTTTTAGGTGATCGATGCGCTGCTGCTGCATCGAGTGTTTTTGTATCGTTTTTCGTCTCTCTGTGCACGCGCCAGTGGTTCTACCTCGACTTTGACGACTCGCTGGAAATCTCGATTGGCTTCGTCCTTTCGATCCTTGAACAATCCTCTCCCCTGTTCTACTTTTCGCTTACCTATACCATTTGGAGTACAGAAATCTACGACACTCGCTGTCTACGAAATCAAAATTGTCGTCTCTTTGCGCCCCAGAAAGCGTCACAACAGCCATATATCTACCGGAAATTCTTCATTCCTCGGAACATCTGGAGTCCAAAAAGAAAAAAAAGCCCAAGGTCCTCGAGCTCGACGAAACGTCATGAATAGCAGAGCGCGAAATACGAGTTGGCCGTGCGCGGAAAGCCGAAAATTCGACGCGAGCCGTCTCGGTGGGGTATACCTACATAATAATAGGTACGAACGAGAGAAAAGAGCGAGGCGAGAGAGCCATGTACCGCGCACACGCTCGGTATAGGAATGTCGGGCGTCGGTGTTGCGTTACCCCCATCCTAATTTAGACGCATGGCGTGTATCGCGCTCTCTCTCTCTCTCTCTCTCCTTCGTTTTCCCAGTCCACGAGTGTTATATGGATATGTATGTTGTGCGTGTGCTTTATTACACGGATAAATTTGAAAAAGCGCGCGAATTGTGCACGTACCTATATACATTATGCGCTCTCGGCTATTCTCGGGCGAGAGACGTGCAAAAGTTTATTAGTCCATGGCGCGAGCCTGACGTTCGACGGCCGCCTGAGGGTATACCAGTTGTATAAGAAAGAGAGAGGCGGAATAAGAGCGATGAGGGCATTGTTGGCGTTTTCTATTATGCGGGCGCGGAAGGCGCCACCCAGAAGAGCTCATTTCCCTCTCTTTTGCACCGAGAGACGGGGACGCCCGAGCGCTTCGATTCCCTCTCTCTTGTTGTTGGCGCGGATGCGTAAATTTAGCTCTTTGTTTACGATTTCGACGTGCCACCGCCGTTTTAGGGGCTTTGCTTCGATCTCGTCGGTGAAACCACGAGTTCGTTTTCCCTCGAGCTGTCGGGTGAAAAAATAGAATAAAATGAAAATCTGCACATTTTTTTCTCTCAATAATAATAATAAGGAAACGAACAGGCATGACGTGCAAACACATGATCCTATTATTTCCGAATTCCTTCTCTCACTCGAGTGCTCTTTGGTCAAAAATATTCTCAGCGATGTTCGGCTGCTGCAGTGCATACTATTCAAGAAAAATAACAGCACCTATCGTTTGGCCCCGTATGATGGACGAAAAAAGAGATTTACATACCCGTAGTTGTTGAAAGA